CATAAGCAAAAAGAAAAAAGCCAGAAGTGGTGCTGTGGCTCAAGTGGTAGAGCGCTAGCCTTGAGCTGAAGAGCTGAAGGACAGTGCCCAGGCCCAGAGTTCAGGCCCCACAACCGGACCCAAAAAAAAAGGAAAAAGAAAAGACTTCAACACCTGATCCTGCTCTGGCCTAGGAGCCGGAGGCCTTGGATGGCAATCCGGGCTGCACACCACACACTTAGGCAAGAGTCTGAGGCTTGGCGCAAAGATTCCAAGACTGCCAGCCAAGCCCTAAATGGTGGAGAAAGCCAGGGGCTGTGAAATCCAGCACACTGTGTGACCAGAGGCAGATGGCAGAGATGTGAGCTTTGTTGCAGCACAGGCCTCTGGACTGAGCTGTTCCAACTGCAGCAGCTAGACTACTAAAATTCCCAAAGCAGGAGAGCTGCCCGGGGCAGGATGTCCCATGACCCGTGTCAGGGCCCGTCACGGAGAACAGGCAGGCCTGGGAGCCACGCCGCGCCCTGAGTCATGTCTGGCTGTGGGTGATGTGGTTTGTGGGGATGACCGGCGGGGACAGTCACTACTCAGGCATGGTCTGGGACACGGGTGGAGCTTCCCAGAGGCCTCCCCCACCTGAACTTGGATAAGGGGTCTGAGGGGCAGAGAGCTGGGGACTGCTGGGGAGATCTTGTGCCCACCCAGGGTTGGGGGGCAGCCAGGAAGAAGGGAACCAACTCTGACCCTCAACTATTTACTTTCTCTCGTCAGTGAGGGACTGCAGGGAAGCCCGAGGCTGTGAGGGTGCGTTCACTTGGTGCCAGGCAGGACACACTCCCTTTGTGACCTTGACCTCAGGTCCTGGGCAGAGAGTCCTGGGGCAGGTCACCTGCACTTGTTATGGGACTCAGCCCTGCCTGCCTGGGTTGCTGAGAGTTCAGGGGTACTTGCCAATCCAGGAGGCAGGAGAGAGCGAGGCCCAGCATTCTCAGGAGGCATGGGGGGCGGGGCTGGAGGGAGCCTGCTTTCCACCCCCAGCCGCCCCCCACCCATAGAAAGAGTGACGTGAGGGGCTTCCGCCTTCCATCCTGGCTGTCCCCTCTGCCCTCATGTCCCCTCCCTTCCACCTCCTCGGCTTCCTAGAAGTTTCTCAGACACACGGGCATGCTCCCGCCCTGGGGCTCTGCACCAGCCGTCCTCTTTACTCAGAACACACCACCTTCTGCCCAGCTTCCGCAGATGCCCAATGCAGCACGATGCTCCCTTCACACACGTCGGCATCCACCACCTGCCACTGCGTCCCACACCACTATCGCCGCCACAGCAGTGTCCTCCATGATGCACCTCCCAGGGCCCAGACACGGCAAGTGCTCAAATAAGCAAATGAAGGAACACCAACCCAGCCTCATGACGCCCCTTCCTAGCCCCTTGGCCACCCCACCCCCAGCCTCTCCTAAGGGGACCCAGGGAGCAGCCAAGACTCAGACCACGGCGGGGACCAGCAGCCTACCTTGTAGTACTTGCCGTAGATGTTGGACACCATCATGATGATGGGGAAGCCCATGAATGTGACCAAGGACAGCTGCCAGGAGAGGCTGAACATGAAGACCACCACGCCCGTGACCTTCACCGTGTTCCTCAGGAAGATGTTGATGTTCTGGGAGACCAGGTCGCTGACCATGGTGGTGTCCGAGGTGAGGCGGGAGATGAGGTCCCCTGGAACACAGGCAGCTCAGCTCCTGCCGCAGCATCGAGGGCCGCTGTGGGCGCGGGGGACACTAAGGGCCTTGTGGGCGGGATGGGGGTCTGGGGCGGGGGAGACGGCACTGCAGGGCTGGGGGAGCCAGTCGCGCTCACCAGCATCTTCTTCCACCTTCCCGCTGAACCAGGAGATGGCTGGGGCTCAGAGGGGGGCGGCCTGGCTCAGCACCAGACGCACCCGCCACTGAGCCAGCTTTTAAACCCGTGCCTGTCCCTGCCGCTGCAGGGCGAGGAGCCCTCCTCTCACCTCGGAGAGACGGGCAGGTGCCCAGTGTGGGGTACCAGGCCGGGCTCCTCGCAGCCCCGTGGGTCCCCAGACTACAGAGGAGAAAACTGAGCGCTGGACCCCAGTGGCTGGCTCGCTCGCCCATCCAGCTGGGCCTCGGCCTCTGGCGACCGCAGGCTCCCATAGGGGAGCAGGCAGTGTGGCCTCCTGTCCCTACAGGGACCTCAGTGGCCTGGCCAGGGTCCTAGGGAGGCCACAGCTCACACCCAACGTCACCAGGGCACAGGCCAGGCCCGTGTGTGTTTCCACAGTGAATGCGACCTCAGGAAAGGCAGCAGAGCCGAGGCCACCCGAGCACCCACTTGCCTCCTGGATGGGCAGCAAGCCACCCTCCACGCTAAGCCCCCAGGGACCAACCTGTGCGGTTCTCGTCAAAGAAGCTCGTCTCCTGAGACACCAGCGAGCGGAAGAGACAGTTCCGGAGGCGAATGTTCAGTCTGGCAAATATGAGGGTAAAAATGCCGCCCCGAATACCTGCGGCAAATGAGCTAATTGCAGATAAGAGACATTATAGCACGACGTCCTTCCGACAGGTGACAGCACCACCCAGACAGCCCCACCCCGGCCGGGCCCGGGGCCCTGGGGCAAAAACAGGCACCAACCTCAGGCCACTGCCCAGGGCCCGTCCCACCGCAGGGTGGCTCTCATGCCTCAACCAGGGTCCCCACTGCCAGGGCAGGGGACCCCGATCTACCATCAGGCCCCCTCCCTTCAGCACACACAGGGCGGGTCCATCTTTTAGAAGATAGCCATCTCGAATGCCAGAGGAGCCCCAGGACAAGAAGGTAGAGCCCAATCAAAGCCGTTTGGGGAGCTGGTCACCATGGTAATGGACTAAGGGAACCTGTCTTGAACCTCCCTGGCCCCTCCCCACTCCTGGGTACAGGCCTGGGCGTGCGGGACAGAGTGGCTACCTGCCGATGGCCAGCAGACACACCACGACCACTGCCGTGCTAAACTGGTCCATGCTCTTCTGGATGACGATGCTGTCGATGGCTCTGCCCGTGTAGTAGGGCAGGAAGGTCTCGCCTGCAGAAGGCAGGGAGGTTCAGGGAGGCTGGGTGCACTTGGGAGGCCTCTCCTCCCGGCACGCTCTGCTCCCCCACACCCACCCCAAGCTGTGGGTGATCCCTGTCTTCAGAGAACAGGCACAGGAGACCTTGGTTATAAACCAGACCCACTGGGCTCATGCGAACAGTGACGGCCAGCAGGCATGGAGGGCGCACAGCGGAGGCTGCCGGGGATGCTGGGAGCCATGGGAAGGGGACAGGTTGAGGTACAAGGCCACACCGGGCCACACAGCTCGTCGGCTGCTGATGGCTGCCAAAGGCAGCTTCACATCTCCTGGGTGGAGAGTCAGAGTCCAAAGTCTACAGGCCCACAGCGCTGCTGCTCTGGTCCCAGAGTGGCTGCCAACTGCCCTTCACAGCCTGCAGGTGACTTCTCCCCCATGTGTCTCTAGAACAACCCTGGAGATTCAGAGAGCCCTAGCAACTTGCTCAGGTCACAGAGCAAGGGCTGGGGAGGCCCCGGGCTCAAGGTTTCCCATGTGGGGCCTTCTTCATTGTCCCCTTCTGCCCTCCTAAATTCCTATGCTTTTTTTTTTTTGGGTCCAGTGGTGGGGCCTGAAAGGAATCGAACCCAGGGCTTCATGAAAGCTAAGCAAGCGCTCTGCCACTGAGTCACCTTCCTAGACCTGTGGATGGTTTTTTGAGCGGTTTTAAGTCACAAATGAAGTACGACCCTCTTGCAGGGTTTCAGGTCCATCAGAAGGGTCTAGAGAGTAGGCTGGCTCCCTCTTGCCCTCTGATTTTGCCACATGAAGACACAGCGTCCCTCCCCTCCAGCTGCTGTCCCTCCCCTTGGAGGCAACCAGACCTCATCCCGGAACAGACCCTACACCTGCCTGCGCCTTGAGCCTGGTCTTCCTGAGCTCCAGACTGTGGAGAAGATATTCCTACTACTACCCCCAGGCTATGGGGGTTTGGAGCAAGATACTTACCCACCCCCCAACTCTAGAATGCCTGCTCTCCTGGAAACATCACCACTGTCCTAAGATCTACAGGCATGGCAGCTCCTTCCACAGGCAAGTTAGGTAGAAGCTGGGCATGCAGTTGACACTCAATGAAGGTCAATGATGAATGGAGCCTGGGCAGCTCTGCCTTGACTCGGCCCTGGCCGGCCAGGCATTCTATGTGACTCTGGCGCCCTCTACTGGGCATGGAGCAGAAGCCAGGAGGTGGCAGCCTAGAGGGCCTCCCACCCCCAGGTCTACATACAGGGAAGATGAGGTCACTGGCAAGCGCTGACAGCCAGTGCAGATGACAATAACAACCCCACTGGGTGCTGGGTACCCTGCAAGGCATAATGCAGACGCCTGAATCTGCAGTGTCATGTGACTGAGCCTCTAAATCCTGCTGCCACACCCCCACCCACAGGGCTCCAAGCTGCCAGGCTCACCCACATCTCAGTACTGCACCTCGGTGCTGCTTCTGCCCTCTCCTTCCCCTCCGCCAGGAGAAGTGGAATCCTACTGATGCTCTCTCAGGTCTCGTTTCCCTGCTGCTCAACACAGTCCACTGCTCCCACTCAGCCTGAATGACAGCACCCCTCCCGAGTGACCTTTGTCTTCTACCCTTCCCCCCTTGCTCACTCTGCTCCAGCTTCACTGGCCTCTGCTATTTTTTTTAACCCATCAGGCACCTACCTACCTCAGGACTTTTGCGTGGCTGGTCCCTTGCTTGGAACAATCTAATCCCAGATCCATTATCTTTGAACTCTTATCTTCTTCAAACCCAAATGCCACCCAGTGTTCCCATAGCTTTGATATTTTTAACCTTCCTATTTGTGGAAATACTTTCCTTCCACCGAGAAGGAATTGGAGCTCAGAGTGGTTAAGTCACTCCCCACATTTACATGGTTGGGTGCCAAAAAACCCATATTAAAGGATCCTAGCCAGGTGTGGCGGTCACACTGTAATCCTGGCACTGGGTCACAAAGTTTGTGCTACATCCCAAGGCAAAGCACAACGCCAACAACAAAATAATCATGACTTCGGAAATACTCAACACTGAAAATGGCCTTATCCCCAGTGGGTAGTGGCAGGGGTTTCTTTCTTCCATTCTTGCCCCTTCCTTCCTTTCGTCCTTCCATTACAGGGTACAGAAAAAGGCTGGCAGGAATGAATGTTGATCGAACTGTTTGCTGAACATGATCTCATTAGCCAGCATTCCCGTTTACTGCCGCTTTTGCTAGACACCAGGCCTCATCTAATTTAATTCTTAGGACAGCCCATCAATTCTCAGGATAGCTCATCAAAGCTCCCATTTCCAGATGGGAAACCGAGGCTTGGACAAGTTAGATAACTTGACTAAGGTTCCTAAGTATCGACCTGAGTCCTTGACTTTTACTCAACCCCTCAAGCTGGCTGGGCTGTAGAGCATCAGTTTTTTCTGATTAGATGCCAGGGCCTGCACAGACAGGTGGCCATTCATTCCTGCACTCATTCATGTGTGAGCATCTATGCTGGGATGCTGGACCTGGGGTGACTCAGGCCTGGTAGGGAGGCAGGATGGGGTTGGAGACTTCAATCACCAACACCATCACTGCGGTGCAAAGACCACAGTTAGTAGAACGCAAGGAGCTTCTGAGGGGGCATCTGGGTCTGACACCTGAGTAGGAGGAGCTGTCTGGTTAAAGAGAAAGGGCCCCCCAATATTGAGTCACTTCCTGCATGCTGAGAGCTGTTTGAGGCATCTTGCTCCCTAAATGCCCCCCCCCCAAAAAAAAGCACATGTGGTGATGGCATAGTGGTGGGTGTGGAACTTCTAGGAGGTGGGGCCTGCTTGGAGAAAATGTCACCGGGTGCTGACTGGAAGGGCTTATGGGATCCCGTTCTCTGTCTCTCTGCTTCCTGTCTCTCTGCTTCCTGTCTCTCTGCTTCCTGTCTCTCTGCTTCCTGTCTCTCTGCTTCCTGTCTCTCTGCTTCCTGTCTCTCTGCTTCCTGTTCTCCTCTGCTTCCTGTTCTCCTCTGCTTCCTGTCTCTCTGCTTCCTGTCTCTCTGCTTCCTGTCTCTCTGCTTCCTGTCTCTCTGCTTCCTGTCTCTCTGCTTCCTGTCTCTCTGCTTCCTGTCTCTCTGCTTCCTGTTCTCCTCTGCTTCCTGTCTCTCCTCTGCTTCCTGTCTCTCTGCTTCCTGTCTCTCTGCTTCCTGTCTCTCCTCTGTGCTTCCTGTTCTCCTCTGCTTCCTGTTCTCCTCTGCTTCCTGTCTCTCCTCTGCTTCCTGTTCTCCTCTGCTTCCTGTCTCTCCTCTGCTTCCTGTTCTCCTCTGCTTCCTGTTCTCCTCTGCTTCCTGTTCTCCTCTGCTTCCTGTCTCTCCTCTGCTTCCTGTCTCTCTGCTTCCTGTCTCTCTGCTTCCTGTCTCTCCTCTGCTTCCTGTTCTCCTCTGCTTCCTGTTCTCCTCTGCTTCCTGTCTCTCCTCTGCTTCCTGTTCTCCTCTGCTTCCTGTCTCTCTGCTTCCTGTCTCTCTGCTTCCTGTCTCTCTGCTTCTTGTCTCTCCTCTGCTTCCTGTCTCTCTGCTTCCTGTTCTCCTCTGCTTCCTGTCTCTCTGCTTCCTGTCTCTCTGCTTCTTGCTCTCTGCTTCCTGCTACTGTAGAGTGAGCAGCTTTGTTCTACCACACACTGTCGCCTTGACGTGTTGTCCCACCTGCAGACAACTGAGTCGGCTGACTGGCAGACTAAGACCTCCGAAAGGGCTGGGATGTAGCTCAGTGGCAAAGCGCTTGCCTAGCAAGTGCCACGTCCTGGGTTCGAGCCCCAGTACCAAAAAAGAAAAGACAAAAAAAATACAGTTAAAAAAAAACCTCAAACATAAAACCTCCGAAAAGATGGCTAAAAGATGCCTTCCCTCCGTGTAAGTGGGCTGTCTCAGGCAGCCTGTCACTGCACTACACAGCTGGCAGACACAGGACTTTGAGGTCACATGTTAGGCATAGGGGCAGAGATCTTCAGAGTCTGAGCAACAGCTGTGATGGGGTGGGACTTAAAAGGATGTCAGAGGCGGGTGCTGGTGGCCTGTCATCCTAGCTACTCAGGAGGCTGAGATCTGAGGATCGCAGTTCAAAGCCAGCCCAGGCAGGAAAGTCCGTGAGACTCTTATCTCTAATAAACCACTCGAAAACCAGAAGTGGCGCTGTGGCTCAAGTGGTAGAGCACTCGCCTTGGGACAGCGCCCAAGCCCAGAGTTCAAGCCCCATGACCAACAACAACAACAACAAAAAGGATGTCAGGTAGATTTTGGCAGAAAGGAGGAAGGAGGAGCAGAGTCTGGCCTTCTCTGAAGATAGCACCCTCCTGGGCACTGTCCCTCTAAGCTAACATTTTACCACCTCACAACAGCTAACGTTCCCAGATGCTCAGCTTTGTGCTCAGTCTGTCCTGTTCTGATTCAAGCTTCACGAGGCTGTGAGAGGTCTCCCCTGAGCCCTGAGACCTCACAGAAGAGGGGCCATGAGGTTCAGAAAGGCTCACAAGCTTGGTAAGGTCACACAGCTTGTACCCAGCCTTGCGGCTGCCAGAGGTTGAGGAATTGGAACCCTACTATGCCCACAGTGCCCGGAGGGACCAGACCTAGAGTAACAAACACACCCTACATCCAAACCAAGAGAGGCTGACACAAGCAAAACTCACGCGAGGCAGAGGCATGCAGCACATGCTGGTCGTCCCAGCTCTTGGGAGGCAGATGGGGGAGGATTGAGGTTTGATGCCAACCTGGGCAAAATGGCAACCAACCCTGTCCAAGCCAAACTAAAAGCATGGCTCAAGTGGGAGAGTGTCTGTCTAACAAGGCCCTCAGTTCAATCCCCAGTACACCCAAAACATTTAAAAAAAATTAAAAACCGCAGGAAGCCAGGCCTCATAATCTTCATTCTATTCAGTTTACACCAGAAACCTTGAGGCCCAGACGCCTCAATCCCAGAGACCAGGCCCAGGTCTGCCACGGTCACGGGAAATGTGTGTGAAGGAAGTTATCATTTAAGAGGAAAAGACTCAAAACTGGAAAACCTATACTACAGTCACACAGTATAAACGGTGCAACCAAAGGAGAAACAAAAGTCCTGAGGGGGAAAGTTCCAGAATGTATTAAGTGAACAGAGCAAGAACCAAAAGGCATGCTCCGGATGGAGCAAGGGGTGCCGCAGGCCACTGCTAAGCAAACAACGGAAGCATCAAAAGAGGGAAGCAGCCAGGTGCTGCTGGCTCACGCCTGTAATTCCAGCTGTTGAAAAGGCTGAGATGGTTCAAAGCCAGCCTGGCCAGAGAAGTCCCTGTGAGACTCTCACTCCAAAACTGCAAGTAGTACTGTAGCTCAAGGTTGTCGAGCTCTAGCCTTGAGCAGAAGAGCTCAGGGATAGTGCCTAGACCCTGAGTTCAAGCCCCACGACAAAAAAAAAAAAAAAAAGGAAATAACCTGTTTCCTTGCTTACCTGGAAGGTTCCAGAACCTTCCCCTATAGTGTGTTCTGGGTGGGAATGTTTTGTTTTCATCTCACTTGAGATCTGAACCATGTTAAGTAAAATGCTACACATTCAAAAGGGAAGAAGAGACTGGCCATGGCGGCTCACACCTGTAATCTCAGCTACTCTGAACAGAGATTGGGAGTTCTTGGTTCAAGGCCAGCCCCGAGGTTAGCAAAACCCCACCTCAATCAAAAAGCAGGGTGTGGTTACATGAAGTATGACCACAGCTGGGGTCCCAGAAGATAGGAGGATCGCAATCTGAGGTCAACCCTGGGCAAAAATGCGAGACCCGCAGTCCACTCGCTTGAAAAAATAACTGGGTGTGTTGGTTCAAGTGGTAGAGTGCCTGCCTAGCAGATGTGAGACAATGAATTCAAACCACAGTACTGAAAGAAAAAAAAAAAAAAAAAGGCAGAGGAGGTGGCGGGTCTCCCCGCAGAGCTCCCGGGCTGCAGCCTGGGGGCCTCGCTTACCCAGAGCTGCCATGATGAGGAAGAAGGAGGCGGCCACGAGGAAGGCCACATCGGGCTTGGTGTAGGAGAGCAGCTTCTGCAGCGTGGCGCCAGATGCCTGCTCAGCTGGCGGCCGGCCTTCCCCGTGGAAACCGTCAGCCTCGGCACCCGCACCTGGCTCCAGGGTTTCGGCGTCGGGCTTCACGGTGGACAGCAGCCACCAGAGCAGGAAGGAGGCAGCAAGAGACACGTAGGTCCACACGAAGAGGGCCCAGAACCACGGGTCCCGGATGGGCCTGCGGACCTCAGAGAAGAGCAGCAGCTTGACCATGGCGTAGATGCCCACGAAGAGGCACACGAGGGTGATGACGACCCAGGAGGCCCGCAGCCGACGGGGCCCCAGGGCGCTGTTCTTGGCCACACCGATGGTGGCCCCCAGTAGCAGGCAGCTGCGGTACAGGCAGGCGGCCCACAGGTCCAGCACCGAGTCGAAGATGTTGAAGTGGCGGATGTCCTCCAGCAGGCTGCGGTCAAGGTGGCTGAAGGCATAGATGGCCGTGGTCACACCAACGTCCATGCTCATGAAGGCCAGGGTCGCCACCACCGCCCTCCACAGACGCATCCTGGTAGCTGGCAGTGGGCAGGTACCGAGGACAGCTCACCGCGGCAAGGCCATCACTGTCTGCGGGGAGAGGCCAGACCTACAGGGGGACAAACAGTGAGCAGTGAGCATGGGGGGGGTCAGCTTGCTACCTGGGGCTTGATGAGCTTGGGTAAGATACTTGGCGTCTCCGAGCCTCCATTTCCTCATCTGGGATGGGAAACAGCAATGAACAGAAGACTGACAGTGTTAAGAGGCTCCCATTCATCCAATTAATATTTCCAGGGCATTTCTTTGGGTTGGGGTCTTAGCCATGAACAAGATCCATACTGATCCAGGCCCCACAGAGAGGGGGAGCACACGGGGGACACCTGTGATAAGAAAACCATGTAGAGGGCGGGGCGGGGCGGGGCGGGCAAGGATGCTGCAGAGGTCCATAGATGGCGCTGTGCTTAACACACAAACCTCTCAAAACCCAGGTCCTCGTGTGGAAATGACCACGTGAAGTTCAGGGCACGCACGTGAGTCCTGGGCACGGTGCATGGCACAGAATTCGTACCGCTGGTTGCTGTCGGCGATAGACCAGGCTGTGTCAGGCAACCTGGACCCTCTTACAGCAGGAGGAGGGCTGAGGGGTGCAGGGGTGGCCCGCAGGTCCCATACAACCCAGACAGCTCCTGTCTGCTTGGCAGAACCCAGCCCAGGCTGACCAAACCCCCCAGCCCAGGCTGAGAGTCCCCCCAGCCCACACTGTCCCCCAGCCCTAGGGCCCGATGGGGATCTGTAGCTCAATGACTACGTTGTCTAGCACCTCCCGCACTGGGACTGGGGGTCTCAGAGCTGAGGGGCACCAGGCCAGGGCCAGGTGGGCTGGGGCTGCAACTGGAACTTGTCCAGGGCAGGGCTGAGGCCAGGTGGTGGAGCCCCTGAACCCCTCCTGACCGATTCTTCCTGGGAGGGGCCTCTGTAGTCCCCCTTGAAAATGGGTCAGTCTCTGAGCCCTAGGTGAAGGGCTCAATCATGCCTGGTCTAGACTAGACCTTCTCCCCATGACGTGAGAGGATCACCCAGTTTTTTCCCATGGGGAAATGGAGGTACAGAGTGACACAACCACCTACTTCAGATACTCAGCCAACAAGGACCCAAATCAAGACTTAAACTGAGATGTGAAGGACCCCAGCATGCAGTAAGTGCCCAATAACTGCAGCACAGTTATGTAAGCCAGCACTTTCTATGGGCCTGCCTTGTGCAAGTAGTGCCTCTTGTGTTGACTTAACCCTCCAAAAAGCTTTGTGAGGTCTGCATTGTGGTCAACCCCAGAGAAGCAAATAACTTGCCCAAGGCCACACAGCTGGTGGACGGCACAGCTGGGATGTGACCTTAGAGCTGTCTGGATGGAGTGTGGCTCTTAACTGTAAGCTAAGAACCTCTCAGTATAGTGAGTGCCCACAGGGCACGCCCACTAAGGGAACACAGGGTCTGCCTCACAAGGCCCAGTCAAGTCAGGACGGTGACAGCCACAGCCCACACGTTAACACTATGTACAAGACACCTTGCTAAGCAACTTGCATCAATGCAAGAGCCTGACAAAGTAGCTTCTACTATTTTACAGTTGAGAAAACAGAAGCACAGAAAGATCAAGTGACCTGCCCCAGGTCACACAGCTAAGCAGATATGGGCTGTGAGGCTTCAAAATCTGGATTCCTGCCAGGTGTCAGTGGCTCATGCCTGTAATCCAAGCTACTCAGGAGGCTGAGATCTGAGGATCACAGTTCAAAGTCAGCCCAGGCAGGAAAGTCCATGAGACTTTTTTTTTGGTCCAGTCATGGGGTCTGAACTCTGGGCCTGGGCGCTGTCCCTCAGCTCTTCAGCTCAAGGCGAGCGCTCTACCACTTGAGCCACAGCACCACTACCAGATTTTTTCTTTTTGCTTATGTGGTGCTGAGGAATCGCACCCAGGGCCTCAGGCATGCAAGGCAGGCACTCTACCACTGAGCCACCTTCCCAGCCCCAAGACTCTTATCTCTAATAAACCACTAGAAACCGGAAGTGGTACTGTGGCTCAAATGGTAGAGCGCTTACCTTGAGCTGAAGAGTGCAAGGACAGCACCCAAGCCCAGAGTTCAAGTCCCACGACCAACCAAAAAAAAAAAATCTGGGTTCCTGCCAGGTGCCAGTGGCTCACACCAGTAGTCCTAGCTACTCTGAGGATCACAGTTCAAAGCCAGCCTGTGCAGGAAAGTCCATGAGACTCTTACATCCAATAAAACTACTCAGAAAAAGTCAGAATTGGTGCTGTGGTACAGCGCTAGCCTTGAACACAAAGATGCTCAAGGTCAGCACCCAGGCCCAGAGTTCAAGCCCCAGGACCAGTTTAAAAAAAAAAATCTGGCTGGGAAGGTGGCTCAGTGGTAGAGTGCTTACCTTGCATACATGAAGCCCTGGGTTCAATTCCTCAGCACCACATAAGCAGAAAAAGCTGGAAGTGGCGCTATGGCTCAAGTGGTAGAGTGCTAGCCTTGAGCTAAGGAGCTGAGGGACAGCGCCCAGGCCCAGAGAGTTCAAGCCCCACAACCGACAAAAACAAAAAATCTGGGTTCCCTATTTCAAAGCTCTCATGGTTGGGCAGAGCCCCGTGCTAGGGAGGTGGATCTGAGATGCACCTCCAGGCAGAGTCAAGCCTGTCTCGGGCTGTCACTTGCTTCAGGCTGTCACTTGCTTACTCAGCAGCTCCAAAGAGAGCCAGGGCCAACTGGGGTGAGAGCGCGGAGGGTGAGACCGCTCTGTCTTGGCCGGCCCTTGCTCCGGCCCAGCCCGCCGCGCTGCCCGTGCTATCTGGCTCCCAGACGATCTGCTGCAATGCAGAGGCCTCGGGGAGAGTGAGTGGGCGAGCTCCAGTCCGAGACCAGGAAGGGGAGCTCCTGGCCCAGCGCCGCCTGGGGCTCCTGCCAGTCACTGCCCGCTGCACGACAGCCTGCCAGCCACCTCGGTAGGTGGGCACAGGGATCTGGGCCCCTCACCCAGGCTGAGGTTCGGAGAGGCTCAGCTCAGCCAGCGAGGCCTCCAGCTTCCAGGCACTGGGGGAATTCCTTCCTGCTAGGCCTGTGGCCCAGGCTGCCAGCTGCCCACCTGGGGGCCCTATTTGTTTGTTTGGTGCTGAGGACAGCCTTGCTGCGTGCGCAGTAAGCAGACGCTCTGCCACCGAGCTACACTCTCAGCTGCAGCTATTCACCTTCCTCAGAATACCCAACACTCCTAGGACCAGCATCACAGACGTTGGAAGCATGTCTTGCAGAAGAGTGGAGGTAAGGCTTCTGCAGGGCTGTCCAGGACGCAGGCACCATAGTACCAGGTCCCCGCCCCCAAGAGCAGAGTCCTTCCACTCCCTGTGAGCAACATCCAACTGGGGCCAGGTTGGGTTACAGTGGGGGGGGGGGAGTAGGGAGTAGGTTGTTCAGTTATTTTTAAAGTTACTGAGCAGGAAAACAAAGGGGACAAGACCACAAGCTAAGGCTGCTAGGTGGGAGGACCGGACTTGAGGATGCTTGGAGGCGCATCCTGCCCTCCACTGCCTGACTACAAGGACGCAGCCGGAGAGCAAACTGTGGGCACATGGATGATATGCATGGCCCAAGAGACAAGGACAAGGTGGTGGCCAAAGGCCAGAGCAGGCCCTACTCAGGGCACACACAACCTGGCCCAGAAAGCCAGGGACAACTCTACTTGACCCCCAAATGCTACCAGTGGCCCAGGACTGGCCAGTGACCCTAGGCCCAGTGTGTGTGGGGAGGAGGGGTCTTAACAAAGGCTTTCCTTTCCAACAGGGGAGATCAGGGATGGCACCGGTAGCTGGTAGTTCAGAAAAGCCAGGCTGGGGCACAAAGATACTAAATAACGATAAGCAAACATAGCAGCTATCATTTTTGGGGTGTTCCTAAGCGGATAACCCCCCCCTCAGTGACCTACTACCCTGGGTAGCTCGGATCACCATGCCCCTCCCAGCTGGACACGTTAAATGACGCTAGGAAAGTCGTAGATGAAGCAGAATGAAAACCTGAGGCGTCGCCACAGGGGGTCCTTGCAGGGCCACAGAGGCTCATGGGGAAAGGTCTGGACTTGGTGCCCTGGTCCTAGCTCATCTTCTCTGGGTGGGCAGAGCCCTGGAAGGACCAGTCACTGCTCGCTGGCAGGATGGGGCTGAGACGGGGTTCCGGGAGCAGCGGCACCCCTGGGCCGGGCCCCCTGGCTGGGGCTGACCCTCTCCCTCAGACTTGGGAAAGTAGCTTCAGGTAGTTGTGGCTTCAGGCCCAGCAAAGTGGGGACAGCGTCCTCGGGTCACCTGGAGCGGGGGGGGGGGCAGGAGGGAGGGCATCGCCGGGCTGGGCCTAAGAGCTATCTCAATTAACGCCCGCGGGGAGGAGGCTGGGCACCGGGGAGGGCCGCGGGCCGCAGACCGGCCGCACT